TAAACTTTTTCACTTTTCAAAATTCTTCCGATCTTCTGATTAATTTCAGCCAAACGACGTATTAGATCTTAGTGCGCTTGGCCTGTTGACTTTCAAAATGTTTTCTAAATTCTGCTGCTTTTTTTTAAAGTTTAATGTTATGAGTGGGGGATCCTTCAGCCAAGATAATCCCCTCTAATTAGCTTGCCAAATGGCTAGTAGATGAATTTAAAAAAAATATGCCTAACCCTTTTGCTACAGCACACAGGAATTCGCAAATCAGTTTCAGGCATCAGGAGAGATTCGGGAAGATGAAGTCATGGTTTCATTTGATGTGACAGTACTTGTTCCGCGTGTACCAGTAAAGGAAGTCATCTACCATTTAGAGGACTGGCTTCTAAAGCAATGTGAGGATTCTACTTGGAAAAACAAAGTTCGGTCATATCTCAAGTTTACTCGTATGGAGGAAAATAATTTTATTTTCAGAGGAAATTTGTACAAACAAACCAAAGGTGCTCCTATGGGCATTTCGCTTTCCCCATTTTTATGTGAATTGTCCTTGAAATAATTCTGGAGGATTGGAATTTGTTGCCCAAATGTTGGTATAGGTACGTGGATGAGATTTTTAGCACTGTCAAAAGGGAAGATTTATCAAAATTTTTGGAGGCAATAAGCAACGTTCACAAGGGCATCAAATTTACTCACGAAGAAGAGAAAGACGGCAAACTCCCCTTCTTAGATCTTCTCATCATCAGGGAAACGTTCTTCGTTCAATTTAGAAATCTATAAGAAATCAACAAATACAAAAAGAGTAATACCAAGCTCTTCAAACCATTCCCATCAACACAAAATTGCCGCTTTTCACCACATGGTTCACAGGATACAAACCCTTCCTCTTAGAGATACAGGCAAATCAAAGGAAATAGCTCATATTTTTTAAGTCGCTAGACTTAATGTGAATCAAGGAAAGACAATTCAGGCAGTAATCGATAAAATAATAAGGGACCATTTTTGGCGTTCTTTGACAACTCTTACACCAGTAAATGAGGGTTTGAAACAGGTAACGGTGAATTTCAACAAAAACATAACCAAACCATTGAGTTCGAAGTTTAAAAGTTTTGGACTAGATTTAGTATTCAGGATAAATCAGCTGAAGTCATTGTTAGGATCAACAAAAGATTAAATAAATGTCTTAGGAAAAGCCGATGTCTACAAAATCTCTTGTCCATATTGCAATAATATCTACATTGATCAGACGAAAAGGACTTTGGAAACAAGGTTTGAGGAACACATCGCAGATGTAAAAAAGACTAATAAAGAGATGGATAAAGGACTTCATTATGAATTGGTTAGTTGGTTGGTTGTCTTTATTAAGGAGATTTTTAGCCAGACGCTGGTTCATCTCCGCATTATGAATTTGAATCCAAGGTTGGTGCACATATCTTTACAAAGTAGCACAATTTTACAAAGGATAATACAGTGCTTTCCCGATTTTCTCAGCTCCCGCTTTTGTCTACCCCCGATTTTGTCAGCTTTTTTTTCCCGATTTTGTCAGCCTGAAGATGTTGCTGAACTTTTTTGGATTGGTTGTTAAGCCTGAATTCTCAAGCATTTCGCTCCGAATGATATTGTCGCAACAATAACAGAGGAAACTCAAATAAACCTCAATTATTGCAACACTGCACAGCTATATCGAGTCCCTCCCGATGAAGGTAACTAGGTGGCGGATAGAGCTGGAATGGCTGCTATACAAGTTATGGGCAGATACCACATTCAAGAAGAAGATTTCGAGATCGCCAAAATTAACGGACTATTCATATGCAGTTGCTACGCACCCGATGGACGATGGAGCTGTTCCACGAGACGCTGGTTGGACTTACCGAAGAGCTGATCGGACGAAGACCGGTAGTCATCGGAGGAGACTTCTATGCTTAGGCAGTTGAGTGGGGAAACAGATGTACCTACGCAAGAGGGCACATTCTGCTGGAAGCTCTGGCGAAGCTGGAAATTAGGCTGTTCAATAAAGGCACCACCAGCACTTTTCGCAGAGATGGCCGGGAATCCATTATCGACGTCACTTTAGGCGGACTGCAGTCCGTCGCTGGTGGAAACATGAATTGGAGCACACACTCTCAGGATTACCAATAGTGACCACCAGGCAATCCGATATGGCACCGGCCAACGGAATCCTGTGGCAGTACAGAGGACGAGAACTTGCGACCTGAAGTGGATGACGAGTTGACAGAATCGTTAGGGAGAGCATGTGACACGACATTCCCGAAGAAACAGGAGCTAAATAAGAGACGGCTTTCAGCTTACTGCTGCAACGAGGCAATTAGCACCCTCCGCGCTAGTTGTCTCAGAGCCAGAAGACGTGTTCAGAGAGCAAGAACAGAAGCAGACAGAGAGGAACGTAGAGGAATGTTCCGAGCACATAAACGAGAGATAAAGCAGAGCAAGTCAAACTGTCAACAGGAACTGAATCGAGACGCTGCTGCCAACGATGCACACAGTGTCGTGAGGACAAAGATCAGATGTCAAGTCATGCCCGCTGAAATTTGCTTAGAGAACTTGAAAGTCATCGTGGAAGGACTTTTCTCGAAGCACGATCACCTGGTCACCTGCATCGTACGGAGACAGAGAAGGAGATAACGACGAAGTCACCTACGAGCAACTCGTAGCAGTGCCTGCTGGACTCTTGGAGAGGATCATCCTAAATAGGCTCACGAAATTCCCGGAGAGTGAGCAAGGATTGTCGTAGAGGCAGTTCGGATTTCGAAAAGGAAGAGCAAAAGTGGATGCAGTTCGGACAGTTGTCGAGAGAGCCGAGAAGGCGTCAAAACAGAAGTGGAGAGGAGATCGATATAACGCCGTAATAAAGATCGACGTCAAGAATGCGTTCAACAGCTCCAGCTGGGAGGCCGACGCTACTTCCAGAACCGGGTTCTGATCTACGAGCCAAATATGGGACAGAGGATCGATTAACGGTGGAAATTCCACAAGGCTCCATCCTTAGTCCAACGCTCTGGAACGTGATTCAAAACGGTGGTCTAACGCTGAAGAAACCCAAACGAGTTAAAGATCGTTGGCTTTGCAGACGACGTCGTCTTACGGTAACAGGTAAGACGCTGGAAAAGATGGAAATGTTGGCGACTGAGTCTGTCGTCATGATTGGAAACCTAATGCGTGGAGCGAAGCTGCAGATATCCCACAATAAAAGGTATTGGTGGTATTGATCATTAACTTTAAAGCACTGCAGCGGTCAGAAATTACCGTTGGGGAGCACGCAATAAACTAGAAGTGCCTGGGAGTGATGGTCGACGACCGTTTGGCTTCAATAGCCACGTAGAATACGCTTACGAGAAGGTACCGAAGGCCATCAACGTGGTAGCCAGAATCATACCGGGACCAAGCACTAGCAAGAGACGGCTCCTGGCTAGTGTATTTACGTTGATACTGAGATATGGAGGTTCAGCCTTGGTTGCAGCGCTGAAAATTTAAGGAAACCGAACAGTACGTACCGGCTCAACAAACCGTACGTAAACTTTTCGATACGTTTGGTGTACCGTTTGTTGTAAGAATAGTTAACGTTTATCAGTAATTCCATTAATAGTGGATAAATAGTGGTTAAATTTTATTTAAAAATCATTTTGATGGTTAAAATATTGAAAAAGAAAAATTCCCGATTTTGTCAGCATCCCGTTTTTGTGAGCCTAAAATTTCAGATGGGGCTGACAAAAACGGGAAATTACTGTATTAATATCCTGCGGAGTGTACCTTCACCTGGGCAACTAGACGTGGCAGAAAGTTTAGAAATATTTAAACATAATCCATCAACATTGCACTACAAACAACACTACAAACAGAGAGTAGCAATTTCAAATTTGTATGTTTTGTGGAAGCTGACATTTGTGCCTTTGAAGTTTCACGCTAAGGCTTCCTTAGAGTATCTCCTTAATAGCGATCAATTAACGAATACTCGAGACTCTTTAGCATACTACCAAAAACCACACATCGTAGAATGCTTCTACCTTCTTCTTCTGCTTCTTCTTCTTCTTCTTCTTCTTCTTCTTCTTCGCATTTCAAGCTTATTGCATATCGCATATTAGCTTATTGCGTGCTCTCAACTTAGTGTTCTAGATGCACTTCCACAGTTATTAATTGAGAGCTTTCGATGCTTGTACCATTTTTGCATTGGTATCATTGTGTGGCAAGTCCAATCATACTTCTATGCCCAGGGAAGTCGAGAAATTTTCCAACCCGAAAAATTCCTAGACCGGACCGGGAATCGAACCCAGCCGCCTCCAGCATGGTCTTGCTTTGTAGCTGCGCCTTTATCGACTGAGCTAAGGGAAGCATGCTTCTACCTGTTGGAGGCTAATTTTTTTACAATTAAAAATATATTGGTTAAGACTGTGTCCCAATTGCGTGGTAAAATTCAACTCGTTAAAACAACGAACCTTTTTCTAGTTCAGTCCTACAAACGTTGCTGACCTAAACGTGATGTAAACTTATCATAATTTGGGACCACCTGACCTGTGGGGGAGCAATCATGTCTGCTGATTGTGTTTTGACACGTCAATTCAATGGTGCTATGGGCGTTAATGCGGCACTAAGTTGGTCACGCAATTGAGCCCGAATTCAATAAACACTTGTCCTCTCTGCCATCTTCGTTCGTTGTTGGTGCGGGTACTTGAAGCGTGTGAATTGCAACTAATAATAAAGCACGACTCAATGAGTCTTTCCCATCATCAGCACCATCCCCACCGACGATGATGACGACCCGGGCCGTGTACAGCGTACAGAGTAATGATCGTGTGTGGTAAGGCTAGCAATTACTTGATCGTTTGAAGGATTATTTGCTTTTTTTGAGTGATGAGACTTGTTGATTTCGAGGGTGCTGATAAATTTTCTTCAGTCGAGGATGAAGTTGTTGAAGGCGTTAAGGGATGGTACAATGTATTGTGATGACTGCCAGAGGGATTTTCCTATATCTTTGTCAAATGAGGGATCTCGGAAAATTTGATCTGTGTTTCTCAGATTTATTTTTTTCAACAAAATATTCTTAAACTATCTTGCAGGCTTGATTATCCCACTTGGTCATCAATAAACAAGAATAGGAACACATTGGGTAGATCGTCCAATAAACCTTAATAGGCATAAGCGATCGCTGGGCTGTTGTACTTCATGAAGGAGCTGGTGTAGCTGGTGGCATGGGCCGGGGCGTAGGTCAGAGGGGCGGAATGAGCGATGGCAGCTGGCTGGGCGATGGCAACGGTCTTGGTGGCCACTGGGGCAGAGTATGACAGAGCTGGGGCGTAGCTACGAGCATATGACCGAGCTGGAGCAGCAGAGTAGGACAGAGCTGGGGCGTAGCTGCGAGTGTAGCTCAGTGCTGGAGCAGCGGCATAGGTTTGGTGGGCGATCGGGGCAGCATAAGTCTGATGGGCAATTGGGGCAGCATATGTCTGATGGGCGATTGGGGCAGCATAGGTCTGATGAGCGATTGGGGCAGCATAGGTCTCATGGGCAATCGGGGCACTGTAGGTCTGATGGGCTATTGGAGCACTGTAGGTCTGATGAGTAATCGGGGCACTGTAGGTCTGATGGGCTATTGGAGCGCTGTAGGCCAGATGACGAGCAGAGTTGTCGTATCCGTAGCTGTAGGCTGGGCTAGAGTAGGACAGAGCTGGGGCGTGGTACGAGCTGTAAGCCAATGGAGAGGCCTGATAGGTGGTGGCTGGTTGCAGATATCCAGCGCTGGAGTACGCCACGCAGGCAAGCAGGACGGTGAGCTGGAATGAGATTGGTGATAAGAATCAATATTTCAAGATGTTTCTAGCACAGATGAACTACCTTAAAGGCCATTTTTAACAAGTTACTGGGGATGTTTTCACTGGAACGAAGCGCTGAACAATGATACTTTTTCGATGATCGCCTTCAATATTTATATCAACAAACTATTTTCAGCTCGCAGATTACCCAGAACATCTACCAATGACCTTCCACAACATTAAATCCAGTCACAATTTCGATTTTCCTTATTTCCAGTGTCCCATACGGATGGGTATCGTCTTACACATATAACACTTAACGGCATCCGAAAAAGAACCACTCGCGTGTGACGTTGTGTGCAATCGCAAAAACTGCTTCGCTTCGCTTGCCCCAGAATGAGCAGAAGAGAGTAGCTACCAACAACAGCCGAAATCTGTCCAAGGACACCCACTTAGCAAAGCGGTATAGAACGAAACGGTCCAGTAAAAGGTGACGTCGAAAAACTGTTCTGGACTCGTGCACGGCCGATGAGAGTGGCTCGAAATAACGACGAAACTTTTTCTCAGTCTATGAGTATGGCTCGATTTTCCTCATATTCAGAAAGTTGTGCCTGGAAAATCGAGGACCCTACATTTTCCTCTTTTGAGTCGAATTCGACACAGTCACTGAGTTACTCTCATTGGCCGTGTGGTTTCAAGCCGGTTGACATTTGCACATCTATAGAGAATTTACGGCACAGTTGACTCTGACCTTAAGATCGGAACCTACACACAGCTGTAACCTACAGATTTGCAAAAAAACAGGATTGCGAAAGAGATGATGGTGCTGCTGCTTTCCTTAAGCTTGTCGAGAGTCGGTACACATGCAATGATTCTCGTTCAATAAATCTTGTGAAGAAGCGTCCCTCGTTAATAGATTTTGATTACAATAATCGGCTACTCATCTCATCCGTCTGAGTGATAAAATATTCACTCAAGACGACCAATTTCGATGTTATTAAAGTCATAAAAGTGTCTCATTAAGGATCATCAAGCTGATAATAACATGGTAGCCAATTCAAAACGACATATATCTCAATAAAAGCGAAGATTGGTGTGTGAGCAGACGAGCAGAGCTAGTGGCGCTAGGTCAGGGGCCACCCCTGTATTGCATGCATAATTAAATGGTAGCAGAGTGGAGGCATCTGATCGGTATAATCAGCATCACCATCTTCATAAGCAGAAGCACCTGGTCTCGGTTGGCCAAGTTCGTGCATTGACTATTCATTGGGATGAAATGTGAATGGTGCATAAATCCTTGCTCATGTATCTCTCTGAGGAACGGAATGTTTGCATTTGGGCGAATTCGAATTTACTTTGTAAACATCAGACGATCCAACGATCGGAAGTACCAAAAATCAGTGTGTCGACAGCTACAAGTACGTTTTCAATATAGTAATGTAGATTTCAAAAATGAGCTTGTGAATTAAAGGCAATTTATCACGGAACCCTTCTAGGGCCCAGTGGGCTTAGATTTTAGCAGTAATCCATTTCATTAGCTTATCTAGAACAGTCTAATAGATGATAAAAATTAATTGCACTGGGATTATGTGCTTAAATTTAAGGAAACATGCTTTTCTTCCATGTATACTTTTATGCAACTTCTATTATGTTGAGCAACAGCTTCATAAATCATCAATTCTCGATTACTTTTTCGAAGGGACGTATCTGCATTTATTATTGTTTTCTCAAGCTTTTCTGATGCGTATAACGTGGTAATGATTGAAAATGGATGCAATCATAACGAAGTGAGAATCTTGCTATCGCAATATAATGATGATGACATCGATCATCCTCTTCCCTCGGCTGATCATCAACGTCCACGCTGGCATATGTCATACTGACACCTGTCATTTATTGAGCCCTGGTGGTAAAGTTGGCGGGGGACTCCCAACAGTTTCAATGTGCACTCACGAGATGGCACTGCGATCACATAAGGGTGGTGTATCCATTGCCTTGTTCGAGGAATTGATTTGTGGGATATCTTGTTAATGAAATATCTTTTTTTTTGTGGGATATCTTGTTAATGAAATATCTTTGAAGGAAGAAAAAGGAAGAGAAGCCCGTCCCGGTACATGTAAACTCGAAGCTCGTCTAGCAAAATTGCCCGGTGAGTCAACCCGTTGCCCATCGACCACTTTTCGTTCAATCCTAGTGTATGAAAAATATAGACGACAACTTTTTATGTTCAAGACCCCGATGAAAACTTTATGTAGAAGTATCAAAATGCAAGGAAAATTGTTTTCTTTTAAATTGTGGAAATTTGTGAGTTCATCCCATGGGATGATTTAAGCTAAAGGAAAATCAATTGTGAACTTCTAAAATATTAAATAAATTTAACCATTTCATTTTAGTATTTTGATCTAACAGTTCCTTCCGACTTCTCTGGAACTTGTTCCATCTGCAAACCTTATATTCACAATCCCTACCCTGCCATCCCCTACAGAAATTACAGGTTTATAGTGAGAGAATGTACCATATTGGAAAAGGGTTCAGAGTGGCTGAGCTGTTCGTTTGTAGTTTGACCAATTTGGCTCTACAATTTTAAACTTGTTCTGCATTATTCACATGTTGTAATTATTGAAAAGAGCTCGATATAAGATAGCCACAGAAAACAGACGTTGAGGCTCCAAAATTTCTCTAAAAACTTGTGTAAAGATTCCTATTCGACTTAAGCGCCACTAACGGCGACTTCCCCACTTAAAAACCCTCTTTTACAACATGATGGCGCTGGCGTTGCAAAACTTACACTAGACACTAAATGCTGGTAGCGCCAAGTGGCATTTATCGATACTAGCGCCAAATTGGTCGAAAGTGATAAATTTATAGAGGAAATCAGGAGATGCTAGCGCTACGTAACGGCAACGTTTCCACTTAACTTTACACAAGTTTCTGATCGAACTTGGACGTCTGGTCTCTGTGAGATAGCTTAATACAATTGAATAGAAAGGCCAAAATCTTACCGAGTAGTTCAGCTGTTCTGATTTCGGTACAGTTTGTTGAGGTCGGGTATAGTTTCTGAGTATGGATGCCCATTTTGAAATAACTCATATTAGCACAGAGTAATAGTTTTATTGCTAGGGAACTTTCTTTTGGGATCGTCTTTTCTTAATACAATTCGCATTATTCATACTATATTATATTAATCATGATCAGTCTTAGAAAATGTTATATGTTCAAGCCCCGTTCTAGATTTGTTCGTTATTCATATCTTATGCATTAGCCGGTGGTGTAGTGGTAAGCGTGACTGCTTTCTAACACCCCAATGGGTCTGGGTTCAAATTCTGAAGTCATGATATTTACAAATAAACGAACTAGATAAAAAACATATTTACCAAGATGAAAAATCTGAATATTTCCGTCATCATCCGCTAGAGTTAAGTTGATTCCAAATATCGATTTCCCTTGACGCGTAGCTGAATCAACTTTCAGACATACGAGTTTGTTCCGGAACAGATCGGACATGAGTTTCCGCATTATTTCAGCAGCACGAGCTAAGTAAGTCAGTAACGTATTCCTTTTAATGGTAAGACCGCAAGCCTTCCATGAGGGACCCGCGAGCATCTGCATACCCTGCCACTGGGGGAACCTGATTTATAGGTTATGTTCCGTAGCTAGCAGAAGCGTTCCAAGAAGCACTTGTTTTCGATCAGTTTCTGCGGTAATTTCGGACGACGACGACGACGGGCGAGGACGCTTTGCCGTACTTTGCTCGCCTCCCCTGCCTTCCACTATCAAATCCAACCGGTGGGCGACATCTTTATGACACGAGATGATATGGCGCTTGAAGTTCCCCGGAACAAAATTAACCTGCTCGTAGCTACACTCCACCACGTCCCTTATTTTTTGTTTCAAAGCACCTCGGTTCATTGCGATTTTTATTTTCTGTGTCGAGTACTAACTACAATGGTCCGTTATCGGCGCGAACGAATAATGCGAATGATACAAATGCAAATGGAGCGCATGATACGAGCGATACGAACGATACGAACGGTAACGAATGAAACTTCTTCTTCGACTTTTCATGAGTGGGCCGAATCGAGTCTGAAATGGAGATAGCACGAACAGCACGAAAATTTCTCTCGCCCAGGTCACTCACCGAGACGCATCGCATTGACAGCGTTTGATTCATTCGAGAGTACATGCTTTGTTGCATCTGTTTTGACTACTTCTGGGAACATTGAACGAATTTGAGTGGTACGAAGCGATAATCAGCAACCCTGCCTACCTGAGAACAAATGGGAACACGGCCAGATTTTCAATAGGAAAAAGGAAAAAAAAAGCGAGAAAACGTAAGATAGTAAGCAGTCAGAAAGGATTAGGCCATTTGGAAACAGCCAATTTATACTGGACGGAACTGGTAAGTAGGATAAGAATTGTAAAAGGTGTGTGCTTGCATGATTTACCTATTTAAGAATTACCTATAAGCCACATGAGAACCTCATTTCCTTCAATTACTACTCCATTGCAGCACACACCTAATGATGATCACTAACATTCATATAGTTTCAGCATTATCGACATTTATAATCAAAAGGTGATACGACCACCCATGTGTGTCTAGAGTATCGCACGAGCTGACGAGTGCAACGGGAAGGACAGTAGGTGTATAGACTAGAGGGTTGATCCCTAGATAAGCCTTCTTAGCGGAAGGCACAGCCTATACACTGAACAATTACAATTACAATTACAATTACAATGAGTACGTGCGTGCGTGCAACGAATCATTACCAACATAGGAGAAAGTTCGGTAAGATCCTTCCATTGCATTATTTTATGATTCTTCAATATTGTACAAATATTTAAACATTACACACAACTACACATAATAACTCGGAGCGTTTGGTACGGTATTTCCACGCATCCTTCCACCCCTGCAGATTCCCATTCATTTCCAAGAATCATCTTTGCGGCAAATACAACGCAGTAGGCCTGGCCGTATTGATGTTTATATCATATCTCAGATATGCTGTAAACATCAATGATCATCAATGATGAAGTAAAATGATTAGACCTCATCTAACCTAATCATTTTCCAGGATGCTTTCTCGTACTGGCTGCGTTTGTATCAGATTAGATTAGATTAGATTAGAATGCTTGTATGAAAAAGTTTTTTGTTTCGAGATGCGCAATGTGGTCCCTGAAGCATCTTAAAACATTATTCGCGGGAACTATCGAGCACCGATCAAACCCTACATTTACTATTTTTGCAATTAATAAACATTTATAAGTCTCTTTGTCAACTTCAAGCACAACGTTACATTACTTTTTTTTTTTTGCTGTGTAGTTATCTACAGAAAATCAGCTAAATTGGTTGAAGGAGAGCGGAGAAATAAGGGTGGGTGGGCGGTACTACCCACCACATAAATGAATGGATTACTGTATATCGGAAAGGGGCGTAAATAACCGCTTAGGTTCTGATTACATGTATGCCAAATAGGTTTTAAAGTGCTAAAAAATGTAGTCGTGAAGGCCTCGTATAAAGCTCTAGAAAGGCCTATGGATTTCGAAATTAGCGTTTGAAACAAAATAAAAATAAAAATAAAAAGAATCCAAAGCTAACAAAAACCATTGTACTTTGGCGACGGTGATTTCCTGCCATAGCCAGAATAAAAATCATTGATATTATTTTAAATTGTCTATGGGTTCTTCACTCCTTCGCCTGTCCAAGTCATCGGTGTCCGGATCATTAGTGCGGCACCACTTCAAGCGAAGATGATACCATTCGACATCTCCCATAGCGAGTGGTGCAGATCACATCGGGCATCTTTTTCGTTTCAGGCGAGGGTGGGATGGGTAGCTGAAGGATCGGCCTGACGATTTATTAAATAAACGACGAGATTTTTGACATGCTTGTTGACACACGCCACCCGGCTTCTGTCGGTCTCGCTATATTCACAGCTGTGCGTCTTCGTTTGTGGTCAAAATGGATAATCATCACCGGAATGGTCCGTGGGAAATTGAGCGTATCATCTTCATTGGACATTCGCCACGGTACCGGTCGTGAACCGGTTTCGGCATATATGTGCGATCATAAATATCCACGGTTAATGACTTTTCACACGCATTCAACAAACGGCAATAATTGGCGGCACGGATTGGTGTGGAGATTTCGCACCGAAACCGAAAGCGAAATTATATTTATCGCCAAATTATGCGGTATTTATAATGGCACCTGCGAAGATGACCGATGGTGACTGGAGGCCCGCAGGGTGCAAGGTATTACAACATGTTTAATTGAATGAAACGCGGTTATCGGATGGCTGATGGTTGCTTCCTACGGGGTAAGTAAATATACACATGTGCTTGCGTGAACCTTAAAATTTATTCAGCGGAACAATTTGGCTTCAGGGTTTTAGTAAGCATAGGCGATCTTAGGACTGTTGTACTTCATGAAAGAGCTGGTGTAGCTGGAGGCATGAGATGGGGCGTAGGTGGCAGTCAGCAGCGGGGCGGAGTGAGCAATGGCAGCTGGCTGGGCGATGGCAACGGTCTTGGTGGCCACTGGAGCAGAGTAGGACAGTGCTGGAGCGTAGCTGTCGGCATAGGACGCAACAGGAGCTGCCGAGTAGGACAGAGCTGGGGCATAACTGTGAGCATAGGACAGAGCTGGAGCGTAGTTGTAGCTGTGAGCATAGGACTGAGCTGGAGCAGCCGAGTAGGTTAGAGCTGGCGCGTAGCTATGAGCGTAGGATAGGGCTGGAGCAGCGGAATAGGCCTGGAGGGCAATTGGGGCAGCATAGGCCTGGTGGGCAATTGGAGCGCTATAGGCCAGATGACGAGCAGAGTTGTATCCGTAGCTATAGGCTGGGCTTGAGTAGGACAAAGCTGGGGCCTGGTACGAGCTGTAGGCCAATGGTGCAGCCTGATAGGTGTTGGCTGGTTCCAGATATCCAGCACTAGCATAAGCCAGACAGGCGAACAGGACGGCGAGCTGGTGAATAGAAATCAATATTATAGAAATAATTTCTTAATTCGTAAGAGGATGTTATTTATCACCTTGAAGGCCATTTTAGCGTTTCAGTTGGTTGTTTTTTGCACTGCAGAAGTTGAAGACACAATGATACCGTTCAGATTTTCACCGTCAATATTTATACGAAAAAAAGTAAATCGTCCAAATCTATCACGAAGCACTTCACAAAATGGATGGATACAGTTTTTCGTATGTCCTTGCAGAATTGCGTTATTTATCGCGAATTTCATTACAAGTCAACTCGAGCCAAACCTTCTGGTTCGCTCAACCATGCATCCGCGTTCGCTAAAATACAGTTTTTCCAAATCCGATTAATCCGATTCAGAACGTGCTCCAATCGGTCACACCTAGTGAAGGAAGACTTCAATGCAGTTACTGACTTTAAGCTACGAACCTGCATTGCATAATTTGCCCACATCGTTCGACAACGCATCAGTTACTTGATTCTCGCAAGCAAAGCAGAAATAAACAAGAACAGATCCATACATAATCTAAAGTAGATCGTCGCCTTGGCTTATTTCAGTCCCATACATCCTTTTCATACCACATGCACACCACACTCACCGAGCTAGAAGACAACAAGACCGCCTGTGTCAACCTTGAACTTTCAAACTGCCGCGTACTGCAAGCGAGCTCTTTGCAGTTATTTTGGTTTTTGTTTTGCTTTCTTGCTTTGCTTGTTGTTTTCCTTAGTGTCAAACAATTCAAGCGAAGCAGTTGGTCTACATAGGAAGATATTTTCTCCGTGCTTTGATTGAGTTTTAATTCCTTCATCGATCTGAGTTTATTCAATCTGATTCAATGGTGTGCATTTTGGTGCATCAGTGTCATGCTTGATTTTGTCTGTTCCCGAAAAGTTGATCCAAAAACGAACGGCAATTAAAATGAACGGTAAAAATTCGAGTGTGCCACTGAGTAAGAAGCGAATAATTGCCGGTACGCAAGGACATCCGGAAAGTGTCAAAACCGGGATGCAGTCTTATCGTCGTTGGGTTCCCAGTAAAGTTCAAAAGACTTAGTGCACGTTTGCAGTTTATAGTATAAATATTCGAAGTGAGCATCGAAAAGGCATCATTGTGTCTTCAGCTTTTGCAGTGCGACATCAACCAGCTCAAAATAACTGAAAAATGGCTTTCAAGGTAAATTTTCAATCATTAATTGTAATAGGTATCTAATATTATTCCTAATCATCAGCTCGCCGTCCTGTTTGCCTGTTTGGCCGTCGCCAGTGCCGGATATCTGGAACCGACTACCTACCAGAGTGCTCCATTGGCCTACCACGCCCCAGCTCTGTCCTATTCGAGCCCAGCCTTAAGCTTCGGATACGAGAAGTCTGCTCGTCAATTGAGCTACAGCGCCCCGATTGCCCATCAGACCTATGCCTCCCCAATTGCCTACCAGAGCTATGCCGCTCCGATTGCTCATCAGACCTATGCTGCCCCAATCGCCCACCAGACCTATGCTGCCCCGATCGCTCATCAGACCTATGCTGCCCCGATCGCCCACCAAACTTATGTTGCTCCAATTGCCCGCACGTACGCTGCAGCCCCTGCTCTGAGCTACGCTCCAGCCCTGTCCTACTCAGCTGCTCCAGCTCTGTCATACGCCCCCAGCCATGCTCCAGCCCTGTCCTACTCGGCTGCTCCAGCTCTGTCATATGCCCGCAGCTACGCTCCAGCTCTGTCCTATGCCCGGAGCTACGCTCCAGCAGTGGCCACCAAGACCATTGCCATCGCCCAGCCAGCAGCCGTCGCTCACTCCGCCCCTCTGCTGACGGCCAATTCGGCTCTGACATACGCCCCGGCTCATGCCACCAGCTATACCAGCTCCTTCATGAAGTACAACAGTCCTCAGATTGCCTATGCTTACTAAGGTGATTCCATTCTAGTCTTTGGTAATGTGAAAATTTTGAGTTGTTGAATAAATATTAAGATTTCATAAATCGTTCTTTTTTAATTCGACATAATGATATTTATACTTATCTTGTTTTTTTTTTAACTCCACTCACTTCGCTATAAAAAATGTTTTTAAGATTTGTGGAATCTTTGGATGTTATACACTGAAACCTCCGTTTACGAAGTCTTTTTTTACGCAGTATTCAATTTACGTCCCTCTTTTTACGAAGTAAATCGCAAATATCGAGTTTTCTTTTTGTGATTTTGGGAAACTGGGATATACTGTGAAATATCCCACAATATGGGTATTGTTGGAGTGACGTGTAGGGACCGGAAATCGATGTCTGTCGCCATTTTGAAATCCAAGATGGCGGCTTCCGGTAACATAATAACTTCGAAATTCTGTCAAATACCCCACAATATGGGTATTTTTGGAATCGGAGTGACGTGTACGGACCGGAAATCAATGTCTGACGCCATTTTGAAATCCAAGATGGTGGCTTCCGGTTACATAAAAACTTGGAAATTCTGTCATATACCCCACAATATGGGTATTTTTGGAATCAGGGTGACGTGTAGGGACCGGAAATCAATATCTGACGCCATTTTGAAATCCAAGATGGTGGCTTCCGGTTACATAATAACTTGGAAATTCTGCCAAATACCTCACAATATGGGTATTTTTGAAATCGGAGTGATGTGTAGGGACCGGAAATCAATGTCTGACGCCATTTTGAAATCCAAGATGGCGGCTTCCGGTAGCATAAAAACTTAGAAATTCTGTCATATACTCCACAATATGGATATTTTTGGAATCAGGGTGACGTGTAGGGACCGGAAATCAATATCTGATGCCATTTTGAAATCCAATATGGTGGCTTCCGGTAACATAATAACTTGAAAATTCTGCCAAATACCTCACAATATGGGTATTTTTGGAATCGGAGTGATGTGTAAGGACCGGAAATCGATGTCTGACGCCATTTTGAAATCCAAGATGGTGGCTTCCGGTTATATAATAACTTCGAAATTCTGCCAAATACCCCACAATATGGTTATTTTTGGAATTGGAGTGACGTATAGGGCCCGGATATCGATTTCCGACGCCATTTTGAAATCCAAGATGGCGGCTTCCGGTTACAGAAAAAATGGCAAATACCACCACGTCACCCCGATTCTTAAGATACCCATATTGTAGGCTATTTAACATTATTTGTATGTCTATATTTAAGTGGAAGTCGCCATATTGAATTTCAAAATGGCGTCATACATGGGTTTTCAGTCCTAATAAGTCACCCCGATTCCAAAAAACCCATATTGTGGGGTATTTGACAGTATTTCCCAGTGTTTCTGTAACCGGATGTCAATATCTTGGATTTCTAAATGGCGTCAGACATGGATTCTCGGTTCTCACAGGTCACTCCGCTATCAAAAAATATCCATATTGTTGTGTATTTAACGGTATTTTTTTCTGTTTTCCTGTAACCGGAAGCCGCCATATTGGATTTCAAAATGGCATCAGACATCAATTTCCGGTCCCTAAACGTCACCCTGATTCTTAAGATATCCATATTGTGGGTTATTTAACATTATTTTTCTAAAACAGCAAAACGGTTTATCTTCCATTTAATTCCACTTAATTAATTTTGGTATCCATGACAGATACGTATTTCGACTACAATGTGCAGTCTTCATCAGTGTCATTCCCACTAAAGAACTTATCAAAATCTAACTCGTAGATTAAAGATGGATTCTTCAGTGGTGTTGAGTACTTGGCACTGATGAAGTCTGCAAGTAGTAGACGAAATACGCGTATCTGTCAAAAGATAAGCAATTATAACGGAATTTAAAGGAAATAAACCAACCCACTCAAAGCTCTTCATTTTCCGTCTGGTTCGTCCAGCGGGCTGAACTTCAAGACTTCAAGGTAAGGAAGGTGCCTAACTGAACCGATAAACAGAATACGGTGGCCGAATCCCGCGCCAGGAAGCTGTACCACGAGTGGTTGGTGCAGCCGAAATGCATCGTAATGGTCGACAAAACGTACATTAAAGCGTACCCAAGCAGATCCCCGGCCTAGAGTTTTTCATCGGCAAGTTCCGCCTGAATGTTCCGGAGAAGTTCCGGAAGAAGAAGGTCTTCAAATTTGCCAAGAAGAACTTAGTGTGGCAGGCGATCTGTGGGTGTGGCAAATTCAGCAAGCCGTACATAACGACCGGCACCATCAACGGCCAAATATATAATAAAGAATGCCTCCAAAAATATTGTGGAGTGATCCGGTTCCAAGCTGGCTAAAGTGCTGAAGATGCCGAAAACAACAGTTTGTCGAGTGCTCAAAACCTACAAAGAAACCCTGAGTGTGGAAACAAATCAGCAGACCTCAGTAAAAACTGGAACCAGGGATCGTCAGCTGCACAGCAAGGTGTTGAGGTGCGTTAAAGCCAACCCCAGTCTTTCGATCCGAGATGTGACCAGAAGCTACAACGCCAACTTTCAACCGGCGCAGAACATCCTTGCCAGGAAAGAATACACGTCGTACAAAGCCAGTAAACATCCAAATCGGCACATGAAGCAGAATTCCGTGGCCATAAGCGTATAAGGCTCATCTTGTACGACCATGTTTTGACGAAACACAAGGGTTGCACTTTGATCAATGACAAAACATACGTCAAACTCGATTTTAAGCGCTTCCCGGTCAAAAGTTTTACATCGCGACTGGACGTGGGGATGTTCCGGGTAGATTCAAGTTCTTATCTACCGACAAGTTCGCGAAGAAGACCATGATTTGGCAAGCGATTAGCAGTTGTGGCCTGAAAACGGAACCATTCGTCGAAGAATGCCTGGAAAAGCGTGTATGGCTGATCATCCGCAAGCATAAGGGCAATTTCATATTTTGGCCAGCTGCCATTACTCCAAGGTGGTTCTGGAGTGCTATGCTGTCAACAAGAGTGGAATAACGTCCCTCTGTGCTTGTTCAAAATTGCTCGAAATTATCATCTCCAACTATATGTTCAACAGAACAAAAAGTCACATATCTACGAATCAGCATGGGTTTTTCCCCGGAAGAAGTGTAACCACAAACGTCACTGAGTTCACTTCGATCTGTCTTCGAAATATTGGGCAGGGAAAGCAAGTGGATACAATATACACTGACTTGAAAGCTGCATTTGACCGGGTCAACCACTCCATTCTTCTGGCTAAACTACGCAAGATGGGCTCATCTGCCAATTTCGTTCAATGGCTCGAATCATATCTCTGCAACAGGACTCTTGCAGTAAAGATTGGATCTTCAACTTCTGACTGGTTCCGCAATACCTCCGGTGTACCTCAAGGAAGTAACTTGGGACCGTTGCTATTTTCGCTGTACATCAATGACGCAACTGTGCTTCTGGAAAATGGATGTTACTTTATTTATGCTGATGATACAAAAATCTATGTGATCGTTGAAAACGAAGACGACTGTCTGCGACTCCAGGAGGCACTGGACAAGTTTGCATTGTGGTGTCGTGCCAACAATATGACCCTCAGCGTACCTAAATGCCACGTCATTAGCTTCCACCGCAAGAAAAATTTCCTTCAATATGAATATGTCATCGACGGAACCACCCTATCACGCGTGCAGACAGTGCGTGATCTTGGAATTACATTGGACTCAAGTCTCACGTTCAGGAACCACCACGAAGATGTTATTGCGAAGGCACGACGGCAGCTTGGTTTCATTGGAAAGGTGACAAAGGAGTTTCAAGATCCTTACACATTGAAATCGCTGTATGTTAGTCTTGTTCGTCCAATTCTCGAGACAGGCTGTATTAGATGGGATCCGTTTCATATCACCGTGATCGATCGCATAGAGGCCGTTCAGCGCAAATTTGTGCGATACGCTCTTCGCAACTTACCGTGGAATGACCCGGTTAATCTGCCACCCTACGAGAATAGATGCCAACTACTGGGATTGGAAACGCTGGAACAAAGGAGGAAGAACGCGAAAGCTGTATTTGTAGCGAAACTACTGAACGCCGAACTTGATGCACCGAATCTTCTTGCTCTCATCGACATTAACATTCCCGGCTATGCACTCAGGAATACCGAATTTCTTCGCTTACCACGCTGGCGACAGGACTACGACGGTAACGAGCCAGTACGTGCAGTCATGCGCAATTTCAACGATGTTTATAATTTGTTCGACTTCAATGAAAACTCTGTTCAATTTCGCTCAAGGCTAAGAAGAATGAATTGATGTTGATGCTAAGAATTATTCATTAAGACAACAAATTGTCGGATGAAGATATCAAAGTAATAAATAAATAAATAAATAAATAAATAAAAGATCTATGTTTTCCCCTAGCTAATGAATCCTCTGAATTTCCCGGAATTTCAACCAATCGAAAAATACTGGGCAATTTCGGAGCAGCGATTTCGACGAAGCGACGGGGCAGTCAAGGACATTCAGCTAATGCGGGCAAAATGGAAGAAATGTGCTGATTCCGTATCCGTTTCCACTGTGCGGGTGCTGATAGGCTCCATCAAGATGAAGGTTCGAGATTTCGTTCGACCTGGAGAAATGTAACCATCTAATGCTGTAAATTTGAAGTTTTAATAAAAGTACTGTAAAGCAACCATTAATGGACTTTTTAAACTTATTGAATCGCAAATTACAGGTCTTTTTGTGCGTACCGTAAAACGGGGTAACATTGATAATTTTTTAAAGTATATTCTAAATATATGAGCAATGAATATTTTTCAAATTTTATATTTTTAAAACAAGTACTGAGGATCCAAGAGCTACTTCGTTAGTAATTTGTTTAACGGAAATTAAAGCATTTGCACTATATTTTTAGCTTTGTGACCGAACATCAGTATTTTGATTTGGGGTTTCTTTGATAATGCTTGATGAATGTAGAAGAAAATGCGTGAAACTTAAACATTTTAGTTCTTTAAATATGAAACTTTGATTGAGTATATAATCAGAAAACATCATAGGCAATAAGATTACAACATTGAATTTGTGATGACTATATCGGAAATATATTTCATAAGTAATGGTTTGAGTGCTTTTTCAAACATGCGAAAAATACGAAAATAGTTTCTTAATATGTTTGTAAAATATGTAACACATACTATATAAAAACTATATACGATATCAACGGAAATACCCTAAGCTACAATGTGGAACCAATATTTCTAATTTAGAAAAAGCGCAGCGAGTAAATTTAATCTTTATATTATACTATCAAAGTTACCCGCATTATCAAAGATACCCCGTTTTACGGTACCAGTTTACTTTTACACAGTACGAACGAAACGTGTAATTTTCTATCTGCTGGGATGTAACAAAAAGACCACATGATAAATCATATATTTTTACATGAGATTTTAAAATTACATGTCACCATTGAATTTACATGTCTTTTCTGTAAAATTAAACCTCCATGTAATGTTGCTCTTATTATGAAGGTTAGAAATAAAATCATTTTGAGATTTTGTTTTTTCGAATCATTTGGAATTAATACAAGTTAAAGGGCACTATTAATTGTTTAAATTTATTCACTAACTTTGTTTCCAATAAGATTCACAATAACACTTTCTAGGCAAGCTCTCGTCGAATAAATTCTTGTAAATGACGGTGCCGTGTTTGGCACGGATGTGGATGACACACAAATTAGTGGAATCGATCAAACCTGACAAATAATCCTCATTGACTTCTGCATCACGGTCGAGATTTTAAGGAGCAGATCTGGGTTTGTAAACTTGAACAATATCACGTTCCAAATGCAGGAACAGCAAACGGATCAGCAACACAGTCGATTTCTGATGGAGACGGATCTCTCGAAGAGCAGTTGTTTCTATACTCGTTTCTGGATGGTTGCGATGAGGCTTCGTCATTTTCCCGTCATTCGGAACACTCACGAGTTAGCTGATAACAACTTAGCTAGATTCCATAAAAATAGACCATAATCTGACACAGCTATTTCGAATCAAGAGCAGAACTGTTTTTTAATGCGTGCAACTTTCCAACTGGTCGCCATGATACTTTGCTGACAAACGTCAAACGCCGCAAGCCAAAGACATGATGCGTTTACGTTAAGAACATGTAAAATTATAGTTTTTAAGATGGAAATTTGAATGTGCTGCATTAGATTACATGGTGTTTCATTTAAGTTTAAACCATTACGGTAAAATTATAAAAAAAAATAGATCCAATACTAAATTGGATGTAATGTAATTATTATTTGCATCTTATCTGTTTGAAAATTCTGTGCGATACTGAATTACGTTAGCATTTATTCAATTACATTTCAAATTAAATCACCGTTAATTTTCATAGTAAGCCTTTATAGACTTCAAAGTCAGTGAAGTTGATAGATGAACTTTGACATAGCCTATTACTGTTGTCAGGGACTGTTTATAAACTACATAGACATTTTTTGAGAGGTTGTAGGGAGTCTATAACCTCTCAAAAATATCTATGTGGTTTATAAACAGTCCCTAGGCAATCGTTCATAATATCTTTTAATTTGTATGAACTATAGACACTCGCCAACCCACTCCCCATTTCCTTCAAGTAACATAGTTTATAGACAGCCATTTACATATTAATTTGTAAAACATATTAAATGTGAAACATTTTTGTGTATATCGTTTATTCAATTCTACACACTTAGAAATTATTATTTTTACACGAGACGTAATTCAACTTTGCCGTGAATCATGGAACGTAAACAAACATGGCATGTAAAATTAAGTGTCCTGAAACTGAAACATATGCAACTCGACGAAAAGTGCGTTTGATTGAATTGATTTTCTCGTCCTTTTCAACTGATTCTTATGTCAAAAGGGCCGCTTGCATGTGTCGGTCTCAGGGCACTGAAATTTACATGTCTTTTTCGTAGTGTGTACTGGTCATATCAACAGGTGCATATACACAGCAAAAAATTAATTTTGATATCACATCAAAGTGGATGCACTACAATCATGTCGAAAATTTCATGTAATTTTTATGACCACATAAATAAACAAATGCAGCGAAAGCAGCGTAATGTCAGTTCATGCATTGTATTAATGATAATTTTGTCCTTTTTAGCAAGTAATATTACACCATATTTTCGACATGATTGTAGTGCATCCACTTTGACGTGATATCAAAATATTTTTTTTGCTGTGTAGTCCTCTAACAAAATAACATGAGCGGCTTTAATAAGCGTATTGGCCGTGATGGTTGTTGTAGCCAAGGAGATGGGCACCAGCAGAAACTGGGGCATAGTTGAAGCCATGGGTAGCCAGGACTGGAGCAGCAACGGCATGAGTGGCATAGGTGTTTTGGTGGTATAGCTGAGGCTGGGCAACGGCAAGTGTTTTGGTGCTGAGTGGGTCAGCATATGAAGAATACCCATAGTTGTCGTGCGACAGAGATGGAGCGTAGCTGTGGCCATACGAGAGAGCTGGAGTGCCATACGTGCGAGTGAATGGAGTGGTGGTATATACGTGGTTAGGGGCAGCCAGGACGGGAGCAGCGTGAGCGTATCCATGATGAGCTGGAGCGGCGTATTGATGACGGGTGAAGGTGTTGTAGCTCACGGCTGGAGCAGACAAGTAGTGGGCAGCCGCTGGAGTGGCATAGGGCACGGAATGTTCCGTTCCGGCGCTGGCGTAAGCCAAGGAAGCGATCAGGACTGCGAACTGGGGTAGCAATTAAATTAGTTCATTATACTTTAAAACATTTTTCGATCACTTACCTTAAACATTTTGATTAGAATTGCTGCGGTTGACACTGCAAGACGTTGACTGAAACAATGATACCGTTTCGAATTTGTGGCAAAGTATTTATAGTGTTAAAATCGACCAGTCGATCACCTAACAATCATACAATCAATCAAAATGTTAGGAAGAAGCGATAAATACAATCTGCTTAAATTTTTCGTGGGTGAGTCCTTCAATTTTCGGTGCACCAGTTCAATTTAATGTATTGGGTATAGTACATGATAGTTGCGTTCTGCTACCTTTGTTCATCACCGCACATAGATATACGCCGCAGCAACAACTTTCCAAAAATCGATTCCGGTGCGATCAGTTATGTCAGTTTGGCTGTTCATTAACCTTTGGCCGAAATATCCATCATACTTAACTAGTAGTAAATTGTTTATACAACCTTGTGCAAATTGTCACATAGTTTCAATCAGCCGAACCGAGAGTAAAGCGATAAATTACGGGTTAAATTTTTCAGCGAATAAGCGATGCGTTAAAGGACATTTGCAATAATTATAAAATGATATCGGCAAGCTAGATTATTTCTTCCGCTATTTTTGTTTTTCGAATTGAAATGGAACAGAAATGCTCAAAAGTCATATGACAAATTATTATGATGATGATAGTCCTATCTGTTCTTCGTTCAAATTAGAGGTGGGCATATCGTTTCTCAATCAAGTGGCTGGATTTGGTAAGTTTGTTCCAGTTGTATAACGTTCTTATAGATTTGTTATCATTGTTCTGGATTTCTTGATTTTGAGAGTTTTTGAGATTGGCTTTTCGCTGATCGAAGTGTGTGATTGAGATTTTTTTCTCTGTTCGGGACCTAACACCACTGCGACCAGTAATTTGATCTATTGTGGTATATCCCGTGTTCTTAGTTTAGTGCATGTCGTATTACTCCATCACTATTGAGAAATAATGAAGTATTCGATTTTTTAACAGTTGCCACTCTTGCATTGTAAGGTCCCGTTATTTATACCCTTCGGAGTGTTGAAACACCCTCCAAAGGCGCGCCCCTTTGTCAGTCAAAATTGGATTCCTTAGCAACAAAATTAAGGTATGACACTGATAATGACCATGCATCAGAAGACTAGGGGTCTTAACCACTTCAAACTAGGGAACAACGAAGAGAAGATTAGGAATCACATAGATGAAGACAACTAACTCATTTTTTTCCTTGTTTCAAGATCATCCTCGGTAGACAAAGCCGAGTCTTGTCACTATCAACAAGGCATAAAAAGTAACAAGGACTAAGATGTGTTCCTTGGATGACTGAAAAATCCTGTTCCCCTAGTTTGAAGTAGTCAGGACTAGGAATCGGTGGTAGATCTTACATCCCATAACGTACCACGAAAAGGTGATCAACCCACGTTAAGGGGGGCAGGTGGCCAGTGAAAGTTATATGAAAATATCGTTATCTCTATCACATTATCGTGAGCTTAAGATTTAACAGCACAACATTTGTGACACTGATGTTACAAAACTGCCATTGGATCTATTGATTATAATTATTTAAGTTTATCAGAAGTTCCCTTAACTTAAGTTTATGTTTAGCTCTTCGATGAAGAGGCACCTTTGGATTCACTAAAAAATAAAACATTTAAAATTCTTTTTACATTATATCTAAACCGTATATTTTAAACGCTAACATTTTTTCTTAGCCTCCGCTTTAGCCTTATACCTACTTCTTTGAAGCCGTGATTTTTGACACAAATGCAACAAATGTTGACTTTATTATGTGTAACACTCGAGTTATCAAAAAGATATTTCGCGCATAAGTTTTTGTATCCTTTCAAGGAAGAACATTGGTAATAATGTAGATGAATAGGGTCGGTAAATGCTGGGTAATGCGCAATACAGATCCCATTGAGATCACTAGCCTCTTCCCAGTAATTCCTATCCCTACCTCCCCGTGGTACCGGCTGGGAGCTGTGAGCAACCTTAGGGAAGATCGGGTAGCCAACCTCGGTGGGAACTTTGGTCATAGGCTGACATGGAAGGGGGGGGGGGGGGTTTGCTTCGGCAAGCCTGAGCGTCTGTTCCCCATGTTAGGGGCGGCTGAGCTACGTCCGAGTGCCAGTGAAGGACTCTAAGCACAACTGTGCACCCTGGTCCTCCGGAAAGTTAGGGGGTTGGTGTCAGGCCCTGCGAGCCAGCCGTAAAAAAGCATTGCAACGGAAAATCAGCAACAGAGAAATACGAACCGAGACCAACGGCAACGACCCCAGCGACGAAATAGGACTTGCGATTGGAAACTTAGGTTGTTGACTTTATTATGTGTAACACTCGAGTTATCAACAAGACATTTCGCGCATAAGTTTTTGTATCCTTTCAAGGAAGAACATTGGTAATAATGTAGATGAATAGGATCAAAGCAATTGATTTTTGGGTATTGATAAATTCAGGATAAACCATCAAGCGGAATACCAGAAACGTAACAGTTCTTATGAAAAAAACGTACTGTTTTCGATACTTCCTCCCTTTCCAAATATAACTCAGTTTTTTCAACAATTGTTCGAGCTTTAAAAAATCTAACTAGACATATAGATTCAGGAAGGTCTATTTAACAAAATCCAAGCGTAATATTCAAAGAAAGGAGCCAAAATCCATCTTGGCTGAACATAAAACCAAATTTTAACAAAAATACGTAGTTTTGTCAATTTAAACCTGGCTTTGGGTGTGGGTATAATCATCACATATGAATTCAGCAAGGTCAATTCTATTAAATCTAACCATAACTTTCAAAGGACAGTATCAAAATTCAACTTAGCAGAAAAGGAAAACCAAAATAAACCTTTTCGAATTACAAACCCGGTTCAACCTTCACGTATGGATTCAGCTAGGTCCATTCTAAAAAAATACAAGCCTATTTTTCAAAGATATGAGCCAAAATGCAATTTGGCAGAACCGAAAAACCAAATTTCTATGAAAATACGGATGGATTCAGCAATTCGGTAAAATCCACTCCTATTTTTCAAAGGAAGGAGCCGAAATTCAACTTGGCTGAACAAGAAACCCAAATTTCTATAAAAATACGTACATTTGAGAATTCAAACCCAGTTTTCTAAAAAATTGTGCATGCTTCAAAAAATTTACCATCAGGAATGAATTCAGCAAAGTCCATTTTATAAAATTCAAGTCTATTTTTAAAGATCAGAGCTGAAATTGGCAGAACAGAAAATCAAAGTTTTTATGAAAATACGTACTTATGTGAATTTAAACTCGGTATTCTCAAAAATTGAAGAAATTCAACCCTCATGTATAGATTCAGCAACTTCTATTAAAATACAAGCCTATTTTTCAAGGATAGAAGCCAAAATTCAGTTTGGAAAAGCAGAAAAATTAATTTTCTATGAAAATACCTTCTTTTGTGAATATTAACCAGGTTCGTCCTTCCGGTATTCAGCAAGTTCCATTCTACAAAATCCAAGCACAAATTTCAAAAGATTGAACCGAAATCAACCTGGCTACAAAAAAATCTACCATCTCGTATGAACTCACAAAGGTCTATTCCATAACATATTTACAAGCCTGTTTTTCAAAGGACGGAGCCAAAATCCAACTTGGCTGATCAAGAAACCCGAATTTCTAAAAAAAATACGTACTTTTGTGGATGTACACCCAGTTTTCTCAACAATTGTGCTTGCTTTTAAAAAAAAATCTACCATCAGGTATGAGCGCAAGAAGGTCCATTCTTTAAAATATCAGCCTAATTTTCAAAGGATGTGAATCTCACAAGAACGAGGAATGGATCTAAGGGAGCGGAATCTACGTTAAAAGTTAGGTGGACTCCCTTAGGAAGGTTTTGAACTACTTCAGAAAAGGTTGGATACCATTTGGAAAATTTAAGCTCAAAAAATTGTCGGTTCACTTCGGAAAACTTTCTACACTTTCACTAAGCAAGATTGTGTCCTTGCCAAATGCCAAAGCTGTTAACAAAAATCTGGAGCTCACTTAGGAAAATATCAAACCCGTTCTAACTAGTTTGGTTTCAGTTCGGAAAAAGTAGAATCAATGCAGGAAACCTTGGATTCATTTAGGAAAAGGATTAATCAGCTAATGTTGCCTCACTTCAGAAAATGCGAAACCAATTCTTTAAAGATTGGATTTGGAATATGTTGAATCACTTTAGGAATGTTTTGACAACTTTAAAAAGGATTGAATAACATAACAGAAAAGTTTAGACTCAGTTAGAAAATATTGATGACTTAATCGAAAGTTTGAACTCACTTCAAAAAAGTTCAGACTCAGTTTTGAATCCGCTTTGAAAAGTATCACCTCAGTTAGGAATTTCCTGAATCGTTTCTGATTTGGTCTCACTTCTAAAAATTTTAAACCAATTTTGAAAAGATTGGATTTAGCTCGGAAGTTGTTGAATCACTGTAGAAAAGAAGTGAATCATTAAGTATCATTGCAGAAGGTTTGTAAGATAAGAAATGTAGATCGAATGCAAAAATCTGGCGGCTACGGTGGGCTGGGCACATTGTAATAATGTCGGATAACGACCTACTGAAAATGGTTCTTTGTAGTGATCCGACTGGGACAAGACGAAGATGTGCGCAACGAACAAGAGGGATCGATCAGATTGAAGGTGGCTTACCTAGTGAGTTGCCTAACAAGATTAGGAATGATGTTCGATAAAATCCGTTTTCAACAACTGAAACCGGCTAATCCGATTTCAAGGACCTGTCATGCCGTACTGGTCAAGTACCAATTTATGTGAAAATTCTTTAAAAGAACAAGGTGTTACAACAACAACAACAACAACAACAACAACAACAACAACAACAACAACAACAACAACAACAACAACAACAACAACAACAACAACAACAACAACAACAACAACAACAACAACAACAACAACAACAACAACAACAACAACAACAACAACAACAACAACAACAACAACAACAACAACAACAACAACAACAACAACAACAACAACAACAACAACAACAACAACAACAACAACAACAACAACAACAACAACAAC